TGTAGATGTGTCACTTAGGGTTGACAAGTCACAAACAATGTCTGTGTGGTGGCCAGTTGTGGAACTCTGTAATAATATCTGTCTGTTGCAAAAGAAGCTTCTTTGATGGGTGGTGACTGAAATACTTGTCTGTAAATTTAAGAATCCATATTTAGCACATAGTAAGAAATTACATTTGTCTAAGGATGTGACAGCCTTAGGGTTTTCTCTAGGATCTATGACCTCTCCAGGCATGTGTATTTGGCTATGTTTATACAGTACCACACATAAGTTTCCTCCCATTGAGTGGGCTACAAGTCCAATTAGGTAGCTGTTGATTATCCCCAAGATAAAAATGCCACTACTGCCCCAATATAGTTTGCTATGCCAGTCGTTGTGGTTACTAGGCCTTAAAAGCTGGGGTTGGACCATCGATTGATTTTCTCCCTTAACAATTTGCATAGTGTTCACCAAAACTATGCAATCTAGCCTACAGGGAAGTGGCTTCCAGGTCAGCTCCAGTTCCATAGCTCCCTAAAATACACTTTCAACTAGGAAGTGGTGCTGGCTGTGGTAGCACACATCTTTAATTTCAGCACTTGGGAGACAAAGGCAGGTGGAGCTCTGTGAGATTGAGGCCACCCTGGTCTACATATTGAGTTCCAGGCCACCAGGGGCTGCAGGGAAACCCTGATTCAAACTACCCCACCTCCCAAAAGAAGTAATGATGTGGGCATCCTGGGTGGGAAGGGCACCCCGGGTGGGAAGGGCATCCTGGGTGGGAAGGAAGCACCCCAGACTTCACTGAGGACCACAGTGTCTCCTGAAACTAACAGTGATGCCCCTTCTCCAACTGCCACCCTAGGGCTAACCTTCCCCACAGTGACCCTCTGTGACATCACTTTCTGGCCCAAGGTCGACCTTTGGCTGTGACACATGCAGACTGACCATTGACCAGCATTACTTCCAAGGACTAGAGGCTGCGGGTCAAGAGCACTGTGTGTGTGTGTGTGTGTGTGTGTGTGTGTGTGTGTGTGTGTATGTGTGTGTGTGTGTGTAGGGCTCACCTCTGCTTTTGGGGAGCCTGGTCTGCCTTCCTGCTCAACCCAGAATCTCCAGGCATCGCAACTGACACAAGCTGGCTGTGGATGAAGTCCATCCCAGCATGGGGGAAGGGAGGAAGGAGAAAAGAAAGGAGGGAGTCAGCAAGACATTCCTCGGTGTGCAGAGCAGTGGAAGCTGGGGCCTGGCCTTGTGCAGAAGGCTAGCAGCTCCATCCTAAAATGGAGATAAGGGAAGGAAGTAGGAGGCTGAGCGAGTGAGGCAGGCTATCCAAGCATGCTGTGACTATAAGGAAAGACGCTTACTTAAGCGTATGTGAGGGCAAGTTTACAGGAGCCCATGGAAATGTTGTTTCTGCTGTTAAAAATGTTTTATTCAAGCTGGATGTGGTGGTGCATGCCTTTAATCCCAGCACTCGGGAGGCAGAGGAAGGCGGATCTCTGTGAGTTCAAGGCCAGCCTGGTCTACATAGTGAGTTCCAGGACAGCTGGGGCTACAGGGACCCTGTCTCAAAAAGACCAAATAAAAGAGATGTTTTGCAAACATCTTCCGTTTTTCTGAAGGATATTCTCATTC